GCTGATAGATACGAATTTGTAGCTAAATCGTTTGCCCGCAAAGCAGCATTTCGCATTGTTTACATTATTGCTACAGCATACAGTTAACGCTAGACACTGTACATGTCATGATCAATTTTAACAAATAAAAACACTTACTTGTAGCTTACAACTTCTGCTTTGAGGAGATTTTAGCCGAATCCAGCACTGAACTGGGAGAGATTGTGGAGCTATTTTGTCAAATTATGCCTGCTGAGTATTTTATAATTCTCTGGAAGATAATTAATATTGAACTGAAGGCACTTCTGTCTTTGTGTCGTGTCCTTTGGTAGCCCAAATACAGAAACAGACGAAGCTCTGTGGAAACAGCCGTGTTTAGACGCATTTTTAGCTTCATCTCTGCTATAACGTTACATTGCTTCTGGCCACGGCCCTTACCTGCATGCACAGTGTGGGATTATCATACCATGAACAATTGCATATCAACGGTTTTAACCCTTAAAGACCGAGACAGCCGCCCGCGGCTAAAAATAAGTATTGCTCTTAAATGTTTAATAACGTTTGATCCGCTGATCCTATTCATACAATTCAAAGATTGGCATAAAGAAGAGAGTCTCAGCTTTCCAGTGCTGTATCACATAACATTCGCGGACTTTCAGAGGCTCCGGAATCAGTGCGGTTACGTCGTCAACATTTGACAAAGCTGATTTGACAAAGAAACGCTCGTCACTGTGTCTCCGGACAAATCAGACATGATACATTGATGCATTGTCCCTCCTCCATGCCCAGATTGGTTCAAACTCGCTATATCACAACCAATAAGCATAGGTTTCACTTTTGTTTGTGGACCAACACTGAGCTTTTTGAACAACACGGAATGAGAGATAGGCATACATTTCTGCGCGGCTAAATAAAAACGCAAAAAAAAAAAGTTTTGCATGAAATAATTCTCATACTAAGTACTTTTGGATGCACAGCAGCACAGAAACATGACAAAACAGTGACACAGCAAAGACGAACTGCTGCTCTTGCTGTTTTCAAAAGACACAAATGAAGGTGCAGCTGTTTGTCTGCATTGCAGACAACCATATCCAAATCCATATCGATAGACAACCATATCCATGCTGGCACATAAAACCTAAGGATGTTCCATATTGAATCTAGTTTCGTTATGTAACTATTTATAGTATAGTAAATATTTATATCTATTTTTTACTGAGGATTTGCACCATGTTTATTTGGACTTTGACACATTATTTATTATTTTCTTATTTTTTTATTTGTTCATTGTAAGTGGTGTTGTTTATAGTAACTAAAAAATATATTATTTGGAAAAAGTCAAATTTGCTTCACTGTTCTATTATTTTGTAACATTTGTAACATACCGTATACCGCGAAACCGTCAAACCGTGGTATTGTTTTAGATGATTATCATACCGTGAAAAATTCATACCGTTACAACCCTAACCAGGAATAATAAACTGCAGAAAACAGTCTCACTACTTGCTCTACAAACAGGTGTGTTCATGACTATACATACAAATAAAAATAATAAAATGAGAAAATATGACTTTGCAACATCAAGCAGCATTAGGCATGGTCCAGTATAGGATTCTGACAGTATGATGACCTAAAATATATTTTCTTCTGAGACACTTTTAAAATATTTTTGAGCAGTAAACATGTCAGGCTAAATCATTCTAATGAATTACAGATTTCTTTAAGATTTAAAACAGCATCTTTGGTCTTCGGTCTGCAGGGCCCGGTTTTTCAAAAGGTTTAATCCGGATCAAATTGATCCAGATTTAGTAATTCTGTTTTTGCGATCCGTGATCAGGTAATCCAGCTTACTTTTTGAGCCAGTTTTTCAAAGCAACATCGGATTGGATCATTCTGATCCGGATAGGAACTTTTCAGGATCACTAAATCTGGATTACCAGTGCTCAAACAGGAGAGGAAATCACAATGTAGAACTATAGATATGTAGAGTGACAAGTAGAATAGCCAGCAAGGGGCCAATATAACTTTAATTTTTTGTTTTAATGAAAACTAAGAAAATTTAAGAAATATTAAATCAATAATAATAATAAATAATAAAAACAATAAAAACCCCACCCCATTCTCTTCCAGCAGTCCGCTCATCTGAGACCTACAACACAAATACTGTACATTGAGGATATTTATAATAAGTTTTAAATATAGATGTAAATAAAAAAAAGACTTAATGTCAAAAACTCCACAATAAGTTCAGACTTCCTTATCTGATGTGGAGAGAGCAGCTTGTCTGAGCGTAGCCTTTAGGAGGCGGATCTCAAGTCTGGCCTTGGTTTGCTGCAGCTTGGTCAGAGTCAGTTGTCCCTCTGCCAGATGAAGCTGTGCGTCTGCTCTTTCAGTCTCTTTTTGCAATTGTTGAAAGAGATTTCAAAAATCAGTCATTGCCATTTTTTGCATTTTTTGTTTATCCTGTAATCATTGCTATCATCACTAATAAATATTCTAATAAGAAAAACATTTTCCATTGTGATGAATATATATATATATATATATATATATATATATATATATATATATATATATATATATATATCAATTAGAGACAAAATAAAATTGATTGTTTTTGGTAAATTTTCACAGCTGTTTGGGGGATTATTTTATGAGGCCAAACTCTTTCTACTTTGCTGGAGGCCTATACTGAAAGGCTAAATACGTTAAAGCCAATAATCACTATAGCCTGACAGATGAACAAATAAAATTAAAACCTTATGAATAAATAGTATATCTATACTGCATGATACAAAAATAGTATTATTTAATAAATTTTTTTAAGTTTTCATTACATTTTAGGCATGAAATCCACGCTAAATCCACCCTTCTGATGGGATCAGTTTAATCCAGGTTTTTTGGATCATTGTGATCCAGATCCTACAAAAAAGGTCTGAAAAACCCAAACTAAGGGTTTGATCCGGATCAAAACCAAGATTGGATTACGTGATCTAATGCGATTATGTAATCCGTTTTTTCTTTTGAAAAACCCATTTTCAAGATTTGATCCCATCCCTTATCCAAAATCCTAGTGGATTACTTTTGAAAAACCGGGCCCAGGAGATACTGTTGTCCTAAAAAACTTAAAACAAAACAAAACAAAAAAACCTTACATATACTGTAGGAACGGTGCAGCAGAAAATGTTGGCGGTTTTATAATGCCCCATGCCTCAGCAGCATAATACTGATATTTAGGATCTAAAAATTAATTCTTTAAAAAAGTCTCAAGCAAAAAGATTCCAATGGCGCTGCTTGTTGGTGCATGAAGAATATGATCTATATTCTGAGACTAAAATGTTTTATAACAATTAATTATTTTAGTGTCCATTTCATTCAGCATATTTAATATTGGGGGCATCCACATTTTTTGACATACTGTAAACCAGGGTTTCTGCAGGTTTTACAAAGTTAAATTTAAGACATTTTATGACATTTTTAAGACCTTTATGAATGAAATTTTAGACTCATAAAGGGCTAAAGGCTAAATAACTTTTCAGATGGCCCAGATGGAAAAGATTTTTATTTCCCCCGTCAAAATAATATTATAATTTATAATTAATACATTTAATAATACAATAATAATTACTATATATTTTTAATGTTTTATTTTTCTTTGAAAAAAAAAAATAATATTGTGTAACAAAAACTTTCTTTTTAAAAATAAAAAATGAACAAATGTTTTTAAAGTTTTAAAAACTATAACAAACTAAATCTATGCACAACAATCTGTCCAGGTCGATATCCACAGCAGTAAATACATGGAGCATGTTTAAACAAATGTTATTGTAAGGAAAATAATTAAACTATTATGATAAATAGAGTTAAAAAGACCTTTTTGAATAAAAAGTTTAAAGTTTTATTGAGATGGATTGTTGGTGATTGAATGGGTTTTGGCCAGATTGGGTAGAAAAACATGAACAAAGAAAAATAAAGACTTGTTTAAAAAAGACACAATACAGCACAATATTTCAGTTAATTTAAGACTTTTTAAGGCCTAAAATGTTAAGTCTTTTATGAGAATACTGTAGGTCAAATATCGTCAGCTCAGTCAAACCTTTTATTAATTTATTGTTTTTGTTTATTTTATAAAGCACCAAGGACGCTTTACAAACAGCAAAAGAACAAGAAAAGCAATAACGTTAAGAAGGTAGAGAAAATAGGAGACTAGTAACACATGAACACAAAAGAAACTCATTCCTGTCTTTCAATGAGTGCTTATGTGCGTTTAGGAGAACTAGGCAGCACACTCAGGGCTTCAAGATGGATTTAATTTAGTATTCTTATTATTAAAATATATCTGAATGAGGATCAAATGACTGAGTTGGTCTTTGAGAATGAAAACTAACCTGTTTGTTCCTGCAGATCTTCCTGTTTGACTGTGAATGTTTCTTCAATCTTCACATCTTCACTCTCCACTTTAATAAACGCCATCTTTATAACAGTGTGGAGATCAGTCACTTCAGCAGGAGTTTTTCTCTGTGTTTTGACACTTTATCCTGTTTAAAATGAACAAAACAATAAAAATGTCCTGTATAAAATTAATAAAACAATGAACAGAAACAAAATAACTTCTCTTCAACACTTGCTTCAACAGTTTCTTTTAATCATCAAAAAGAAATCAGGTAAAACATTTCTTTAAAAATAGAGGTAAAGTTGGTTTTATATTCGCACATTCAGACTTTCCCCTTAATAATGTAATTTCATAAAAGTATTATTTGCAAACTCTAAATAGCGAAACCATAGAAGCAGCTAATGACTGTCAAAGTACAACATTGTTCACAGTCAAATAAACAGTGTTAATGTTGTTTTCAAGACACACTTGCATGCTAATTTCGATCGAATTCAAAGTAACAGTAAACAGTATAGAGACTTCTAAATGAACAAATATGCGAATATAAAACCAACTTTACCTCTATCAGAAAAGTTTGGGAAACCCTGCTTTAAAACACTTATAGGCCAATTTCACACTTCCGCATTCGTTACTTCCGGTTTTGACCGCCCCTGGGTAAACTTATTTCCGGTAAAAACAATGGCAGCGCAGTCGAGGAGCAAGGCGTTCTGCTGTGTACCAAAGTGCAGCAATTCAAAGCAAAAGCAACCATACATGAGTTTTCATGAGTTTCCCACTAACGACATGCAAAGACAAAAGTGGGTACATGCAATTCGACGAGACGAAGGGCCGAAGTTTGATATTAGAAGGGCAAGTACGTTAGTCTGCAGTCAACACTTCACTGCTGCTGACTTCATCCAGGGTAGTTGTCGCTTAAAACCTGGAGTTATTCCAAGTCGCTTTCAGTGGAACAATTTCCATGTACAGCCACAAAAGCAGTCTGCTTTTGAGAGGTCAAGTGCTCGTCTAGGAGTAGATGTGCGTGCCCCGAAAACTGTGGATCTGCAGAGTAACGACTCAGAAGTTATCGTCAAGGACCATGACTACGCTGCATACCCCCCTCCTGGTAAGTATTTGTATTAAAGTGTAACTTAGATGCAAAATTATACACACTAGGGCTGCATGATTATCTCGATTAGGGTTGAAGTCAATTCATAAAGTACAATTCACCTAAAATGTCATTTCTGTCCTCATGTAATGATGTAATCACAGCCGCGAGGTCACACGTGAGCTGTCGCACTGTTTGTTTACATCAGAAAATTATGCGTTTGCGTGCAGTGAACAGAACCTGTAAATTCAGTGAATAACAGGCAATAGTTTTAAAATAATGCTCAGTTTGTTGCACAAGGCGACAACTTTGCTCCTTAATCAGGATATGATTGATTTGCATGTGTTTTGTTTCTCACAGTCGAGGCACATTACATGGTTTAACAGTGCCATAAAGATAAATTAAATTCACTAACCCTATAATTCATCAACTATACAGTTCTTAACTATAAATCAGCACTGATTTGATTTCAGCTTAATGAATGCGCAGTTTTAGAGCTGCTTTATAAATGTATTAAGGTGTTTGCAACTCTAAATTCACTAAATTTGTAAAGGTTCTTTGGAAAAAAACATTGTATAAAGTGCTACAAAATTAAAAGTAACTTGAGTAGTTTAATGTTTTTACTTAGATGTTTTTATTCTTATCATTGATATTATTATTAAACCTTTGTAATTTGTCATTTTGTAGGTGCTTTGGATGAAGCCTTGGAATACATAGCAGAGCTGGAGGCTAGGCTAAAAAAAATTTCACTGGAGACACCAACTGTGTTCAGTAGGTTTTGTGTGTCTGATCACACAATTCGCTACTACACCAGGTTTCCCTCACAGGAAGTATTCCAGGTTTTCTGGGAGTCTGTTTGTCCATCTGCCACAAACCTTATGTACTGGACAAAAGCACAAAGAATGGGTCAGGAAGCTTCCCCTACACCAAGTCCTGCACGCAAAATTCAGCTCATAGATGAACTGTTCATGTACTGTTGCCGCGTAGCTGCTGGCCTTAGGGAGAGAGTAATTGCTGACATCTTTGGTGTAAGCATGGCCACAGTAAGCAGGACAGTCATCACATGGGCAAATTATCTTTATTTTGTTTTAGGCTCTGTTCCCATTTGGATGTCAAGGGAACAAATAAGCTCTTCCATGCCTGAGAAGTATAGTTCATTCAGTCCAAATGTCAGAGTAATCCTGGACTGTACAGAAATTTTCTGTGAGAGTCCCACATCTCTGACACTCCACTCAGAGATATTCTCTAACTACAAGAGCACAACAACATTTAAAGGACTCTTGGGAGTGGCTCCATGTGGTGCAGTAACATTCATCTCTCGTCTGTACACTGGCTCAATCTCTGACAAAGAGATTACAAGGAGGTCTGGCATCTTGAGTCTACTTGAACCTGGAGATGAGGTGATGGCTGACAAAGGCTTTACAATTGGGGACATGATCACCAATGTTGGTGCTACACTAATAATTCCACCGTTCAAGCGTGACCGGCAGTTCAGCAAGACAGACTGTCAAAAAACACAAACCATTGCACGGCTCAGAATTCTGGTGGAAAGAGTAATACGACGAGTTAAAGAAAACCACATCTTCGATTCTGCTGTACCACTAAGCTTGTCAGGAACAATTGACCAGATCTGGCATAACTGCTGCTTCATGGTAAATTACCAGGGACCAATGTTTTTGGAGCATTAAATGAGCCAGATTTCTGCATCTTCTGTGGCCTTTACCTTGAAGCCAGATTGTCTGGCTAGTCAGTTAATTTTCAGTTTAGTTTCAGTTTAACTATCCTGAAATGTGTAAAATAGTAGAAATCAAACCCATCAGAGTAATCCATATACAAAGAACGGAAAACATGACAACCACATAAAATTAACTCAGTGTTTGTTTAGATACATTTGAAGGATTCTGTGCTGATTTGTTACATTGTTCTGTTTGTTATTATTAAAATAGCTACAAGTTAATGTAATTTTATGATTTCCTCTTAACTTTTACAAAAAATATTACAATGTATTTCCCCCTCTGTGCTCAGAGGCAGATTTGTTACTTTTATCAAGCAAAAATGAGCAGTCTCCTGATAATAATAAGGACAGTTTGAATAAACTTTTTTTTTAATAATTGCTATTGGTCAAAATAAACATATCATACAGTTGTTCTGTTGTCCAGTTGTTATTTGACACATTTTATTGTTAGTTTCAGATATAATACAGAATTGTAAACCTGAACTGATACAACATGAAATTTTTACAATTATAATAGTAGTTTAAAAATAGACAAAGTTGTAAAACAATATAAAATTAATTACTATACATATATACATAGCGTGGTAGCAATTTTAAAGGGTTAGCTCACAAGTGCAAGTATCAAGGTGAGTAATTAAAATTATAAATTTTGTGTGAATTAACCCTTTGCTACAGCAATGCTTAAACCATAGATAGATACTTGTCCATATATACATAATAGTAATACATGTCCAACTTCTCCTTCATTGATGTTATAAAGACATCATCTCGCCAAATCCTCTGGATGGTTATGTCTGACTGTGTGTCAGTCACAAAGTCACACCACTGCAGACCAGTTACGGCAAGCTGGCCTTGAACCTGCCAATAGTATTTGTGTGTTTCTTTGAGTTTGGCTTGGCCCTTTTGCATTTTAATAAATGAAGCCTGGCCTATACTTTCAGCAGATGTAGCTTTTACTTCCACTAGACCAAATGGGAAGATTTCAGATGGATCATATACTCTCCCATCTGGACTGGCACCTAGATGTGGTGCATCTGGGTGAACAACAAAGCCGCAAGGTAAAACCGTAACCCTCTTTGTTTCAGAATATTGTTTCAAAATTTCTGGTTCAAGTTCAAGTCCACGTTTCATAGCACTTGTCTGCTTTGTGCCTTTTAGTATACGTGCTGCTAATGACTGGCTAGCAGATTCACCAACCACATAGCAGACTTCTCTAAACCTGCTTGCGGTGACTCTTGGTTGACGCGCATGTGCCCAGGCAGCACAATTTGACTGTAGTCGAGTATTGTGCTCAATCTGACCGGATAAGATGTGTGACACTTGTATTGACTGCAAATGAAAAGATTGGTGGTGAGTGGGAACAAAATTTAAGTTTGTACTAAACTGACTGCCACACACTGGCAGGTTGGGGAAATCAACTGTAGGTTGATCAGCAGCTGTGAGAGGATAGTGGTACGAAAGAGGACTGCCCCGGGGTAATGGACCAAACTGCGAGCTGACCAACTCCATTTCTGACATGCCTCCAAGTATATGAGCCAACAAAGGTTTTGGGTCAATCTGGTTTAGTTTTGCTCCAGAAGCCAGGATGTGTGGATCTGGAAGTGGACCTAAAGAAATAAATGCTTGTTAGTGTTAACTTATAACATATGAAACAACAAATTACTAAATGGAGTCTGTCAGTGTGTATGTAACTTTATGATGAAATACATCTGTCAGCCTCTCTCTGTTCTTTTTGTAAATAATGTATGTAAATCTATATTTAGATGTGTGTCTGTACATATCTATGTGTGGGTATGTCTTCTGTATGCATATATAGGATGTTTATATATTGATATACATGTATGCGTTTCTGTTTGTCAAGAGTATGGATACATTTTGCATACACACAGTTTATTATTACCTGTGTGAGCTTTGTACAGCGTAGACTTTACTCCTGTCTTCCCCAAAGAACATGGTTTCTGAACTACAAGTTGACTCACTGCCTCTGGACTGACACCCTTAATATAAACAAAAAATGTGTCAACCAGGAATATTTGCAAATGCTGAAAAACGGGAAACATTACACTTACCTGTGTCCTTGGACGATGCCATCTTTGTTGTTCACTTGTGCAAGCCACTGTTGGTGGGACAGATTTTAGATGAAGCTGCACATAGTGGGCTGTTTGATACAACAGAGCTGTTAGATGGTTACATAACCCTTTGCCAGCTGCACAACTACATGCATAAGCAGTGACACTAGGCTCTCCATGAGACTCCAAAAACATCTGTAAAAAAGAACACAAAAGTTATTTAAAACTACAAGTCATTAACAATATTCAACACTGAAAAAAATGCTGTTGTATTAACACCGGAACTACCAGAATTGTCTAACTACTTGAAATGCCATACCAGTCATTCAGACCCGTTCTCATATTTAATGAAAGCCTGAGATTTATAGATATGTGTGTTTTTAATTTAAACTAAATTATTCAATTGCAAATATAGCAGTCAAAATGACCGTCTCGGTAGTTCTAGTGTCAACACTGTAAAATTCATTAGCCTGCAACCGCAAAAGCTATGTATGTTACACCAGAACACTTAAAAACTGCAACAGCAGTTATATTAAAAATAATAGAACTTGCTATCAGAACAATGATAGCTAATCTGCAATCATAAGCCAACCGGCAGATTACATATAACCTCCAGTGTGTGGGGTTCCTCGTTTTTCCTCATTGAACGGTAGCATCTAGCTCTGACTACCACCTTGCTGTCGACTACATTTGACACTAAGCATGCATAAACAATGAAAAAAGTCAACATATCTGTAATCAACATATATCATATAACTTATTTAGAAACGACTGTAACTTTATTGCCGCTAACGTTAGCAATATGCTAGCGATTGTAGCTAATTCAAAACTTACCTTGATACCCATGAATAAATTCTTCAACAAAGAATTTATATCCCTTCTTCAGTCTTGACCCCGTGGTTAAAGAATTTTCTGCAACAATTCGGTTGATGTCCTCGAACTTAATTTGCGGCAGAGTGGAGAGAGATGTTGTAAAAAATCGTTCCATGTTTTCTCAGCATAGAAATCGTTTGTTGTAACTGTAGCGGAAGTAAAATTACCCAGCGGCGACGAGCTTCCGGTTCTTGTGAAATTGGCCTATTACACCCTTTTCTGTTTCAAACAATAACCCTCGGCTACTGAGAATAAAATAGTACTACGATGTATAAAGGGTTTGTAAACAGCAGGTAAATAATTTAGCATCAGAAGAAAAAAATCCCGAAACTTTAATTAAATCGGTTTATATCTGTAAACGTTTTAAAGCACAAACCTTTCTTCAGTTGAATCACAGCGCTGAAGCGGCGCCACCTGATGACGTCACACGCCACGCCAAAATAAGAGTCTTTATTTTATCTCGCTTTTTTGCCACTTACTGTTGCAGTCATGACTTATTGATACATTTCTCCCATGTTTTTCACTTTATACTATTTCTGCTCTCTCTCTTTTTCTCTCTTTCTCTCATATTTCACATTTTAGGTGCTTTTTTGGCATGACAAATAACTGTACATTCGTATTGCCAAAGCAGTGCAGCGTCGCTGCGTACAAACAAGACAGTGCAAAAAGGGCAGTAGTGCAAACAAATATGGACATAAAATATGATAAATATAATATAACAGAGAAAACACAGAAATAAATAAAATAAAAATAGATTAATAACATTAAAAAGATTAATAAAAAATATTTTAAAAAAATAGATTAGATTTCTCTCTCACACACACACACACTTCAGTATTTTAAAGTTGATCAAAAAAATTTTAATCTACACATTTTAAGAAAATTTTGAGAAACTTTTTTTTAATCCAGTTCATGATGATCTACAACACATTACTTCTATTAATATCTGAGTCCAAATCTCATCCTCATAATTATGTCCTCTTTTATAATTCTATAGGGTTTCTTATTGTTTCATATAAATTGTTTACTCTTATTATCTGTTCCACGTTTCCTGCCATTCTTTGGCAGTTTCTTCAGTGATAATATTTAATTTACTTTTACTTACAGAAGCATTAAAGGGATAGTTCACATAAAAATTACAATTCTGTCATTTACTCATCCTCCACTCGAGCCAAACCTGTTTGAGTTTCTTCTGCTGAATTGAAATGAAAAGAATAAGCTACAGGGTCAAAAAGCAGCAAGTTCGACAGAAGCAAAAACAGTCACTATATGGTTCAACAGCTCCTACTTTGGACATGGCTGCTTTTTTCAACGTTTTCTGGCACACAAAATGTTCTTGGAACTCGATTACAATTGAACCAGTAAAGTCACTGTCAAAGTCAATATTTTGGTTCCTTTTCTAGACTTTGAGCATCTCTGGACTCTTGCTGTCTATGACAGATGAAGGAGCTCTCTGATTTCATCTAAAGTGTCTTCATTTGCGTTCTGAAGATGAGCAAAGTTCTCAGGGGACTGAAACAACAGGTAGAGGGACAATCATTCTCGAGTGCCTAGTGCACACTATAACACACGCATTTCACCACTGCTGATATACAGCCACATCACACTGCTTTTTTATTTATTTGTTTTTATTGCAATAACATCAGACCATTACAACAAATAGAATTACAAAAACTGATAGCACTGATACTCATGTGATGATATTATTCATATATTCATTCATTTTCTTTACGGCTTAGTCCCTTTATTAATCAGAGGTCGCCATAGAGGAATGAACCTCCAACTTATCCAGCACATGCTTTACATGGCGGATGCCCTTTCAGCTGCAACCCATTACTGGGAAACATACACACTCATTTACACACACTGCATGCATACCGCATGTCTATTGACTTTGGGGAAACCAGAGCATCTTGAGGAAACTCACACGAACACAGGGAGAACATGCAAACTTCACACAAAAATGAAAACTGACATAGGTGAAGCTCGAACCAGCAACCTTCTTGCTGTGAGGTGATCATGCTACCCACTGCACCACTTTGACGCACATTAAAGTATTGAACAGACCCAGCTGAGGCTCGAACCAGTGACCTTCTTGCTGTGAGGAGATCGTGCTACCCACTGTGACGTCTCACATGTATAATTATTTGAGGTATTAAACTGGTATTGGTGAATAACTATGCTTAAAAATGTTTATTTTTAAAATGTGTGAAAAGACACCAATCAGATGTAGCGATTGTAATGATTTGGGCAATCAAGCATGTATGGTTATAGACACTATGCTTATTTGTCTTAAGAGGTGTAAGGCAGGTCTTTATCATGCATAAGGCAGGTCTTGTTCATGTAATATGCTTTAACCTATCAAGTTGGTATTGGAGCGAGCAGCTACACCCGTTACAGGTTTCTTATATGTAAAACAATCCTATTCAGGTAATGGTGTGGCCTATCAGGCAGCTATTAATAAATACGACTGCACATGATGATGAGCCATTTATTTAAATGAATATTTGACACAGATATTTAAATTTCATTGTTGCAAACAAGTTACAGGAGCAAGTTCAGTTGTTGTTGTATGTCATGTCCACTACTGTAAACACACCATGGTAAAAAGAATTCTGAGAAATGGTGTAGGTGGAGCAGGTTAATCACCCTGAATAACCCTTTATAAACTGCCCATACAATAATTTTACTTGTGATGAAATTATTTTCTAATTATAAATATATAGATGCATGACAGATTTAATATTGGACTCCACAATGGTAAGACCACAGCTTAAAATTGCATCACGTGCGTGCATGAGACAGAATATTAAGATTTAAATATTAAGAATATTTATAGGATATAATAAGAATAGATATAGAATATAAATATTAAGGATTTAAATATTACAAAACATATTATTTTCTAGCCTAAATAAATATGAAAAACCACTGCTTTTATGTCTTCTTCATCTCTGGAGGCTTTTTCAGTTCATTCATATATATAAGCCTACCTTAGACAGAGAGGGTGCATTTAGAAGCTGCTATGCTATGGAAGTTTCTGACTAGAAGTTGCTTTCTTGATTTGTTTGTGTTACTTGTTGCTTGATTTTGGCCTGTACTAAGACAGATCTCTTTTGTTGAGAGATCTGTCTTGGTAACCTTTAGGGCTCTATTTTGGCGGTCCATGCGCAAAACGCAGGGCGCAAACGCTTTCAGCACGTGTCAGAACGCATTTTTGCTAATTTAAGGACGGGAAAATCCATTTTGCGCTGTGGCGCATGGTCTAAAAGGGTTGAGTTTGTTTTCTTAATGAGTTATAGTTGTGTTTTGAGAATAAACCAATCAGAGTCTCATCTCCTATTCCCTTTCAGAGTCAGCTGCGTCGCGCCATAAGCACATTCACTATTTACAGGACGTAAAGTAAGTCTAAGTGGAAAAACTGAGCATTTCACTAACAAACAGTAAACAGTTTTTTTAACAGAAAACAGTTAAACAGAGCATCTACTGCGTGAGAATGAGAGATAATGGATCACTTTCACTTTCGCTCTTGGATAGGGAAACCTTTACGCACAGACATCAATTAGTCTATAAATAATTAATTTTGATTGTTAGCGCAAATAGGCTATTAGTTTTCAAAACTATTTCTAAATTCAGTTCTAATTTCCAGCAAACGAATAAATAAACAATAATAACGAAGTGTGCGCAAAAACCTGAGTTATATCCTAAAACACATGCTGTGCCCCATATGGTCTTAAACCCGACAGGTGGGCAAATCTAAGCTTGTTTTTAATCAAACAAATATAAATATGGATATAATAAATAATACTGCTAATAATAATAACATTATACAAAAGCAAATTACAAACTAAAAAAAGCCTCCCGAGATAAAGAAGGCATAAAAGCAGTGATTTTTCATATTTATGTAGGCTAGAAAATAATATGTTTTGTAATATTTTAATCCTTTATATTTATATCCTATATCTATTCTTATTATATCCTATATATATCCTTAATATTTAAATATTTTCATATGTAAAGATATTTGCCTATTGCTCTCTTGTGCGTATTAAGCAGTGTGTAAGCGAGGCGCAACTCTGCGCTGGAGTTTAGACCGGGTTAGTTTTGGTCTAATAAAAAATCTATTATAGTTTCTTAAAATAGTGACGCGCCAGCAGTGCGCCTCAGAACACCTTCCTTTTTAGACCAGAACGCCTATGGGCACACAAATGAGTGCTAATGCATTTGCTATTTAAACAGCGTAGCGCAACGCCTCAAAACGACTCTTGCGCCAAGCTGAAACTAGTAAAAGACTATTGCGCCGCACCTTGCGCCGGGTGTATGATAGGGCCCATGGTGTGAACTTTTACATTCATGTTAGAAGACATAGACAATTCACAATTAATAAACAAGAGCTTTTATTTGTAAACAATATTCAAAGTAGGGCAAAATAGAAAGGTGCATATAAGCGGTGCAAACTAAAATATAAAGGTGAATTAAAAAAATAAATAAATAAAATTGCAAACACAGACCAAAACACAATAACATATTAGACTGATCTAATTTTTTCTTCTGCTAACTGTTCACTTAAAGCACCATCACGTACCACTTCACCGACTTGCCTGTCGTGTTCTGCTTTTGTTCTCAATTTGAATGCTCCTGACTGGACCCCATTTTTCTGGATTTTACACCTCCTGGCAAAGCAAAATCGACATGGGAGTTTAACAGTGGAACTCTCCAGCAATTCAGTCAATAAAAAAGCACCTAGATGATCAGATGACACAAACATATGCTTCCTTTTACACAATCTCCTAACTGTTCAATGTATCCACTATGTTTTTCAAGAGTTTTATAATCTTGAACAAATGGGTGCAAGACCACCATGCTGTTTTACAGTGCTAGCCTTTATTACTTTTGTTTGCAGTGGTGGGTTATTGTTTTATTGTGGGTGCAGTGGTGGGTCTTGGAACAGAAACAAAGGAAGACGAACAGGACGATGACTAGGCAAGGAATTAGGAAGGGTGGAGTACCTGTTCTGACTGTGACAGCTGTGAACTTAAAAAGATGTATCCAGTAGTTCACTATAGAACTTCTTAGTTAACTAAAGAGCTTTAAGTCAATTTAATCAATGGCTGAGCTATTGTTTTTACTGTAATTTATTTAGTTTAATTTCTGAAATAAAGCCTTTGGTAAATCTCTTACATTGATTTTCAAATCTCCAACTGTGTTTTGTGAACAGCAGTGTGCAGTAAAGTAGTCTTTGATAATAATTACTTTTCAAAATAATAGCTTCAATTATTGCTTTGAACTTTATTTTTATCAATTGTAATTATTGTTAGTGATTTTGTACCAATAACATCTGATT